GGCACACAAGGAGAAGCTTCTCACGCCGACGGAGGCCGCGGCCACGCCGATGGAGGAGCACAAGAAGGAGGATATCGAGATGCCACAAGCGCCGTGGCCAATATCGCCTACGGAGCCGTGGGCAGGGGGCACGCAGGAGGACCCTTACATGACGGCGGCGGCGCCGAAGGAGAGCGTGACGAAGATCGAGCCGAAGGAGGAGCCAGTTCTGGTGACGTCTCAAGATGGCGACATGACGGATTCCCAGGTACAGAAGGAGATGGAGAAGATAGACCAGGCGTGTGCAGCGCATACGGGCGATTGTCCGAGTGCGAGGAGCAGTGCGCCAACGGCCGCGAGCAGCTCATCTGCGGCTTCGACGGCATCGAAGCCGACGGCTACGAGGGGGGCGACTGCAAGGACGACGTGGGCAGCGGCGGCAGCGGACTCGCCGCAGCCGCGCAGCCCTGCGGCCAAGGTCCTCAAGGTGGGGGGCAAAGGCGGCGCCTGAGGGGTAAGCAGGTGAGCTGGGCCAAACAGTTAGAACAAGTGTCTCCCTTAGAACGCAACATTGAAATAGGTAGGGACGTGCCGTGTCAGGTTTCAATCTTGGGGGGGCAAGGATTTTCTGACTAGATCATGTCACATAGTTAAGCAACAATCTGGGGATAATACCTCATTAGGAGCTTCAGCTTTTTCCAGCAATACCTATCCCAGGCAGCGTATTGACCAGGGCGCGGGCTTCCCTGCGCCATGCAGAGATAGTGGTGCAGCCAGGGGGGCACACATCGGGGCATCGACGGTCTCCTTCGACACTTGCATCGCAGACTTCGGATTTGAGCACGGCAGACGGCGTGAGGACCCACGGGTCCATAGCCAGAAGTTTCCCGAGCCAAAGCCAGTTTAGCATGAGTCAGCCCGCGCTGACACCGTTGAGAGAAGCACTGCAAGGCAGCAGCATCTGTTTTGAAATACTAACGCTTGAAGTCTTGCAGAGCACAGGGGTGTTAGAGGAGGAGGCTGCTGTTGCCCGGCGCGCTTTTCCGCCCGACGACGGGATCGGCGACATCTCCGCCGTCCACTATTTTACCGACGGCTCGCTTTACCAACAAGGGGAGGGGATGGGGGGATGGGCAGTGGTAAAAATAGTGGTAAGGGATGGGAGGTACATAAACGGTGGAGTTTTAAGAGGCGAACTTGCGAGCAGCAGTTGAATGAACCTTGAGCCGAGCTCGGCCACCAGCACTACGTTGGAGTGTCTAGCGGTGATATGGACATTGTTTGCAGTCATAGTTGGGCGCCCAGGGTATCCCTGCACCCTGGACAGCGACTCGCTTAATACGATTCGGGCAGCGCTTGGGCAAAGCCTGCCAAATTCGGACAGGAAAATAGCTCAGCTTGTGCAGGTTGTTTGGGATTTGGCCTCCAAGCAGCGTTCACTTGAGCTCGCCCATGCCAAGGCCCACGCAGACCATCCGTGGAATGCTTTAGCAGACAATGTGGCTGAAGCCACAGCGAGACAGCTCCTGCCTGTGGCGCCCGAGCTACCGCGAAGAGTCATCCAAGCCGTCAGGATCGAAAACTCGCGCCTCTGGGAATGGGTCTTGGACGCGAGAAGGGACTCATGCGTACCCCAGCGCTGAGTACGGCAACGGGTGCGCGAGCCTCTCAGGCTGGAGGCCCGTCGCCCAGGCAGGGGATTTTCGAGAGCCGCATGCCAGCAACATCAGGACCAGCAAGTTACAATTAGCTGTAGACATGCGTGTTGCCACTTTTAACGCGCAAAGTTTGCGGCTTGCTTTTCGGCGAGGCTCGAAGGGAAGAAATCGAGCACGCCGTGCTGCTGCGCTCCGCACTCAGATGTATAGGAGCGGCATACACATTATTGGAATTCAGGAGGGTAGAAACGAAAAGGGCACCAGGAGGGCAGGAGACTGGGTGTGCTTTGCAGCAGGACACCAGGACTTTGCGCTCGGCGTCGAGCTATGGATTAACGTGGGCTCTCCCTACGGTGTGTCCAAGGGAAAGCCGATAACCTTCAGCGCTCAGCAGGTGCGAATCTTGTGGGCTGCGCCGCGTTTGTTGGCGTGCAGAATAGATGCTCCAGGGGTCAACCTCAATGTTTTAGTGGCCAATGCGCCTCATTCGGCCAATTCGGCCGCCGAAAAACTCAGCTTTTGGGAAGACTTAGACGCAGTGTGCAACAAGTGGCCCCCACAGTTGTGCTTTATGGATGGCAACTGCCACCCGGTTTGGGGCGAAGGCTGCGAGGTGGCAGGAACCAAGGGCACGGCTGGCTCTTCTTCCGCGGGCAGTGCGAGGTTGAAGGAGTGGCTCAATGATCACAAGCTTGTCGCAGCCAACACCTTCCTTGGGGGGGGGAGCGGACTACACTTTCATAGCTAACAAGACGGGGGGCAAACACCGAATTGACTATCTCATAGCGGACCACCAGCTTTTCAAAGCCATGAGTGAGGTGGCAGTTCTGCATGAGGTCGATCTCATTCGGAAGCAGGATGAT